ATTTCACGTTAATCACATAGGCCCCATAACAAATCTCTTAACCCACCAAGATAGCTTATTCAAATTCTCTCCATGACCTTCTCCAAGTAATATGCATGATATCTTATCTACACAAACAACTTTGCTTCATTATCTCCTTGATTTTCCAAAAAAAAACATCCACCGAGTATTGCATGTAAGGCAAGTAGATAATGTCAAAGTAGATTGAAAACATCCAATTGCTTCCAGCCCATTATTGCAGCACAAACATTTATTCTTCAAATATAATTCAAACTTCAAATCTCCATGCGCATAATATCTTCACAATGGCTTAGTTATCACATTGGCTCCATGTGGATAACAACACGTAAATTCCAATAAGTTATTTTTTTACAGGTTTGGATTTTTGGATCATATGAAAAATAAGTCGTTATGTTGCCGAAATTTAGTTAGAATTTAAGAATTTTAATAAATGTAATTTATTTGACAGGTCCGTACAGAGACCTAAGAGCCGATGTCTGCTATAGACAATTGGACGGACATGCATCGTCACGGGGACTCTTGGGTTAATACCCATGCTAAACAGACTTTCGTAAGTAATTTTACTTTTCATATTAAATTTTTTTATACTGAAATAGTGGTTTTATAACACGTAAAAATAATTATAATGTCTTATTATGCAGAACACCCTGGAGGAGGAAAGACAAATGCAGAGAACACAAAGTACTGCAAGCTCGACTAGACCCCCCCTTGATGAGCATGGGGTTTTGGAGCAAGTTCTTGGCATGTGTAAAGGACATAAGATAGGAGTGGGTCCGACGCTCTCCCAAAAGCATTACTCCGAGGCTTCTCCTTCATCTGCTGGTTCATTCTCGGACCCACCTCATCGGCTCAACCTAACACACGTATGGATCGTTATTTAAAGAAATCATACCGGGAACAAATGAAGATTTATGACAATCAGGTGAAGATGTTAGAGTTGGTGTCTAAATTGCAACCCAACATCCAATTACCTACGATTGCTCATCCAGAACCAGTTGACCTAGACGCTCCTCTGCCTCCTTCAGATGATGATATTCCTGATGATGATTCAGCTGTTGGCGATGCTACAAACTTAGACGAATAGTGCCGATATATGTTCTATTTTATTTTTCACTTTATTTAGACTTTTATATTTTTTTGAACATTATATATGCACTTCATGTAGTATTCATAATATATTTTATAAATTTATTTAGATTTACTGTTTTTAATATTAATTTATATTTCACTTTTAATGTATCTTAATAAATTATATTCAGTATGTAACATAATAACGTTTAATTAAAATTATTAAAAATTAATTAATTGCCATTTTTAAAAAAATTAAAAAAAAATTTATTCCAGTTTTTTGCGACGACTTTTTTATACGTGTTGTCGGAAAAAAGGAAGATTATTTGCGACGACATTTTAAAATTGTCGTCGCAAAAAATATTATATCACGAGAATTTCAGAACGGCGTATTAGCAACGCTTGTCATCGCAAAAAAAATAAGTCGTCGCAAATATATTTGCGACGACACTGTGTCGTCGCATAAAAAGTTTTTGCGACTAATTTTTTGCGACGACATATCTGTGACGACATGTCGTTGCGAAAACTATTATTTGCGATGACACTGGGGTTTTTGCGACGACTTTTTGTCGTCGCAAAAACCCCTTTTTCTTGTAGTGAGTGCCAATATATATATATATATATACATATATCCCAAAGATAAACTAAGCTTGATCTCCACTTTAAATTCAAATCCATATCCCCTTTATCTCTTTCTAGAATCACATTTAAATTCAAATAACCAATGCATTATCTTTCTTTGACCAAGGTCTTATCTTTATCTCTCAAAATTTGATTCTGAATCTTGTTTTGCAATACGAAATCTTCTTGAACTTATTTTCTGAATTTTTACAAAATTACCAATAAATTACCAACTAATAAAAATACCTAACAAAGTCTATGATCTATACATAGCCACTACAAGCACAAGTTAGACGAAGTATCTCAGTTTGGCCTTGCTTTCAAGTTTCATCTTATTAAAAAAGTGATCATGATCCTTTTCCTCATTAAATTTCGCTATGTCGGCCTGTGTATACACATACACATATACATATACATATATTTATATATATATATATTTATAGTTATTCATCTTATATATACATACATATATATCTATATATATATATATATCCAGTTTTGGACCTTTTATACATATTTGCTTACTTTTTTATACGTTCCTTCTTTGACAGTACTTAATTAAATGAAGCACCTCTGTGTGCGTGTACGTGGTGTAAAAAAAGATATTATAATATGATATGATCTGTTTAGGAATCAGCTAATATAATTTATATGTCTTCAATGGTTCGGATGATATATAATTTATTGCTGTCAGCTAGGTCATGATCAAAATCAGTTGTACTTTAATTTATTGCTTCTTTTGTTAAGGTAAGGTCTGCCAAAGAAAGAAATAATCCCTTTTTTTTTCCCTTAGAAAAAAAATAACAATACTCTTTTCCCTCCCAAGTTTTTTTACTTCTTTAATTTTTTATTCGCATGTGCAAGTGCTAGTTGTTCAGGTTTATGCCTATCAAACTCATGTGTGGACGCTTTTATTCAAACTTTCTGTAACTACGAATCCATATTGATCACTCCACAAGAAAGCGCGCGCACACACACACACAGAGTACATACAAAAACACATATTAATTAATAACATATGTGTGTGTATTTGTACTAGGGATATGCAAAGTATAATTCTGGTTCAATTGTTTATGTGTAATAAGTTGTTCCACTTTTCTGGTGATGATTCTCAGTATACACGTGTAAGCTGTGACAGTAGCTAGTAATTCATGCTATGGAAAGGTGGGGCTACATTATTATTGACATGAGAAAATGCTAGCGTTATTTTTTCTGTTATTTTTTTTTGTTATTTTCTGCATTTACTATTTGATATGTGGATTTCACTATTTCATTTTATGTTTAAATAATAATATATCATGTTAATAGAGTTCACATGTTAAACAATGAATGTAAAAAGTGATAAAAAGAGTGACAAAAGAAATAACGTTAACATTTCTCTTATTGATATATAGGCAGGAAAAAAAAAAAAGACGATCGCTTTCTCAAGCTTCAATATACATTACCTATCACATCTGAAGAACGCTTATACGCATGCGATATTTGCAATTTTGTTGAACAACATTAGTCAATGTAGTAGTACTTCTGCAAACAACCGTACGTATGTAAATGAGCCCCTTGGCAAATATATTACTGCATTGAATGTGGCATACGATTAATTAGGTTTAGTTATAATACAGAAACTCCAATAACAGCATTATGTGTCAAAGATGTGTGTATATGTATGTGATACATTTTCGATTTTGCCTTTTCTTTGTCCATCATGATCATTTTTGTTTCTATACTAGTATTATTTCTTATACCTTATTTACCCAAAAAAAAAAAAAAAGTTCTTATACCTTTAAAATAGATTTCCTGTTCTCTTTCTTTTAGATTTTTATTATAACCTATATCACAAATTTTTTTTTTCTTATATATAAAGAAAATGTCTGGGGTGGGGACGACCATCGCTAACATTCTTTCTCTAAATGTTACTGCATGATACCCCGGACGCTGACTTGATCAATTGTTGTTAAACCACAAAAATATTATAACTCAAGCAAAAAACTGTGATTTTTGTTAAACGACATCAAATTCCAAAGACATAAGTACAGGATTTTCTTCCTAAAAGACAGTGAAACAACATATATATCATTCAAAAATAAAACCATAACAACTTTGAAAAGAAAAGAGTATAGTTGAATAGTTGATAACATTCCAACATCAACACTAAGTCGTCTTTTTTTAAGTGTACGACAACAAACTTAAAATTTTTAGTGTGCGGCATTTTAATTTTCCAATGGTCTAATTTTTTGTTGTTGTTGATAGCTAGTATCATTTTCTCCCATGTAGTAGTGGTTCCTCATAAGTGTGCAGCATTTTAATTTTCCAATGCTCTAATTTTTTGTTGTTGTTGATAGCTAGTATCATTTTCTCCCATGTAGTAGTGGTTTCTCCATTTTTTGTTGTTGTTGATATCTAGTAGTAGTGGTACCCATGTAGTAGTGGTTTCTCCCATTTGATAGGGAAAGATCATTTGATTGTGAGTGTGGTTTTTTCTATCATTTGATAGAAAAAGATCATTTGATTGTTGAGTGTGGTTTTTTCTACTTTGCCACGTTCAATGGCTGTGTATCACAGAGTTTTAAGAAATTTTGATAGGAAATGAGAACTCTGAAATTATGATATATCTCAACTGAGGAGTGAGGGTCCCTTATGTAGGGTTTAGAGAAGATTATGATTTCGTCTCTTTTCAATGTACGGTACAAAATGCATTTCCGCTTTTTTTTTAAATTTTTTGAGAGTTTTCCATTCGGTTTTTTCAACTTCACAGGAGCACTTTGAGAATCAATTTCTTATTCACCCGTTCACCATTTTAAACATATAAATATATCTTTTCGATATTCTCATAGCGGAGAGCACAATTCCAAATTAAACCGTCACTAACACGAAGTAGATTCAGCTCAAAATCGAACCTCAAAATAGTACCCTGAAAAAAGGGTTTTCAAGTCATTTTTCCAACATCGTTCACTCACTTTGGTCAGTTCACTAATCTTAGAGTGCTTTTTTTTTTTGGTCGTCGTTTCTAATTATTGGTATCGTTTTCACTGTATTGCATGCATTGTCTACTTCGGTATCGCTTTCTCACTTTCTTGTCGTTCAATCATTTTGTTTTATTTTTTATTTTTTTAATGTGCGTTTTCGTCTTGTCATCGTTCCTCATTATTGTGGTCGTTTTTACTGTGCTGTTTTTTCTCTCTATTCAGGCATGGATATGGATTTCCTTTTCCGATCAGCCGCTTATTAGTTACTATATTGTTGTTTTGTATTCACTTCTACTAAGACCTGTCTTCCTTCTCTCACAAACTTCCATGGAAGCTGAACAAAACTCCATTTTCCACCATCATTCCGAAACGAACGATCTTCCATTGCTGCTCATTCAACGCCTTCCTTCCGTGGACCTCCCTTCTCTCACCGATCTCCTCCGCCCCCATTTCCGCCTCCTCGACCCCCACAACCAACCAACCTCCCCTCCCCTCCCTCTCCAAGCCTTCCTCTCCCTCCACGCGTCCACCGCACGTGCCGTCGTCATCTACGGCCCCTGCCCTTTCACCGCCTCCTCCCTTCTCTGGAGCTCGTCGCAGCCACCTCCGTAGGCACCAACAGGATTGACGTCGCCGCCTGTGGCCGTCACCAACGCCGGTGGCGCCTTCACCGAGGACGTCGCCGATTACGCCGTCGCTCTGCTTATCGACATTCTGGGGCGAGTTTCCGCCGGCGATCGGTACGTGCGCTCAGGTCTGTGGCCGGTTAGAGGAGAGTACCAGCTTGGATCTGAGGTCAGTTCTTTTTTTTTTTTTTAATTAAACGCTAAATATTGAGTTTCTCGTTGTGTTTAATTTAAATGGTTAATCTTGGATATTAGTTGGAATTGATGGATTTTTTGGGGATGGTTAATCTTTAATTAGTATTAATAAAGACACAAGTTTGAATTGAGCAATTTTGTGGGGGATTTTACGTACTAGATGGAGGTGAATTTAGTCAACTATTTTCTTAGTCAATCAATCTAGTAAAAGGACAAGCAAGAAATCTACCAATGATGTGTTAGGAATTGATAGTTGTGACAGTTACTAGCTCTAATTAATATTGTTGGGTTTAAATTTACTAAATCCGGTACGGTGAAAAAGAGTAGAAAGATAGCAAATGTTTTCCTAAAATTGAAAGAGAAAACAAATGACAAGATTGCAACTTTTTCTTGAATTCAACCAAAAGATTGAAAGCAAGATTTGTTTCTTTTTCATGAATTCGACCAAAAGGTAAAGCATCTTGGAATTATGACAATCCAAAATAATTTCCTAGTTGACTTTCTACAAGGGGCACTAATCACTATAGTTATTTTGTATCCTTTCCTGATCTAATCTAACAGAAGCTTCTATAGTTATTTGGTCTATTCTAGTATTCTCAATAATAAAATAAAAAAATAAAATAAAATAAAATATATGTAGTTATTTGACATTGGGAAGTTTGGATGGTTGTAAAATTTCTAATTTAAAAGAGTTCTTTTACTTACTAGTTTCCTTTTCTTTGTGAGCTTCTTGTTTGTATAGGAAATTCAATTAAATGTATGTTTGTACCTAAATTTTGAAGGAAATAAGACGATTGCCATGAGGTATTTCAGATTATCAAAGTCGTCTTCCCATTTCCCTGTTCGGCTGTTCCTACTGTTAGGCTCTACTTTCTTGGATTCTACAGGGAATTACTTTGCATAATAATCCAAAATGTTTAAGAACCATTGCAGCCATAACATGTTATGATTTCAGTTAGGAGGAAAGCGAGTTGGGATGGTGGGGCTCGGGAAAATTGGCTCGGCGGTCGCTAAGAGGCTCACGGCCTTTGGCTGCAGGATGCCTACAACTCTAGGACGGAGAAGCAAACTGTGCCATTCCCATTCTTTGCAAATGTCTGGGATCTCGCCTCTGAAAGCAACGTTCTTGTAGTGTGTTGTCCGCTGACGGTGGAAACTCACCACATAATCAACAAAGACGTCATGAAGACGCTTGGAAAGGAGGGAGTTATAAGCCCCGTTCATTTTACCGATTCGAGTTTAAAATTCGATTGCTACATAAAAAAATTTTCAGAAACAGTCATATTTAACTTTTTTACTACAGTAAAAAGTTCTCGCATAAAGTCACATTTCAATCAACGTGGGGCGGGGAGCTCAAGTTGGTGAGCAGAAATTGGTTCGGTTTCTTACGCGAGTGGATGAGAAATTGGTGGTGCCTGATGTGTTTGAGAATGAGCCTGAGGTGCCGAGAGAGCTATTTGATTCGGATAACGTTGTACTTTCTCCGCACAATGCTGTCATAACTCCAGAATCCATGGAATCCCTGAACCAGATTGTCTTAGCCAACTTGAAGGCTTTCTTTTCAGATAAGCCCTTGCTGTCGCCAATTCAGTAAGATTCAAATTTAACGGCTTAGCTGTGTATAGGGAATGCAGGAACATCGTATCCTATCATATTGGTCTTTTCAATAATCAGATATCCACCTTGTGGAATTCAACGTCATTTTAACGTCCATGATGTACTTTGTCAATGCTCATTGGCAATATAAACAAGTTGGAGGGCAATAATATAATGATTCTTCGTGGAAGAGGGAAAAAGATGAGAGATTAGTAGAAAGATTTTGGTGCACAAGCGGGCGTTTTTGTTGTTGTTGTTGTTGTTATTTTTTTTTTTCGTATTTATTTATTTTGAGTAAATATATTGGTATCCGGTTGTCGTCTCTTTTATTTTTTATCCTTGGGTTTATTTTTTTTGGCACTGTTCACTTAGTACTGTCGTTTAACTATTTATGTCGTCTAATATTTTTAATGTCGTTGTGGTCCTCGTTTACTGATTTTCTCGTCGTTTAGGTCTGCCCATCGTTTATTCATTTTCATGACGCCCACTTATTTTTGCGTCATTGTCTTTCCCCTTTTATTATTCTTGCTTTCCAATTATTGTAGGCAATTACTTTGGTGGTGTTGTTGTCCTTTGTTTTATTGGCAATATTTTCTTCTTACGACTTAGTTTGATCATATTTTGTAGGGTGCGTCTATTGACATCCCGTTTGTACTTTTCAGTCATTTTTCGTAAATTTTTTATTATTAAATTACCCATTAATAAAATTACTCTTCAGGACAATCATATTTTGAAAAAAATACTCATTACACACCTCACCTTAAAAAAATTATAATTTTTTAAAATAATTAATAAGAATTTTCATATATATCATTCATCTATAAAGCTAATCTTTATATAGCTCCTTAATTGCCACTTTACTCTTTCTAAAATAAATCGATAATTGATGTATTGAGTAAATAACTGATTAATCAATTTTAAAAAATTGGCCAGATTTTGGTTTTTTGAGTAAACTCTACTGAACTGTTGGTTGCTTTAAAATCTAGGAGTAGTGAATGAATGGAGTATCTAAGCAGGGTTTAGTTCAAAAGAGAGTTTCAAACCTTGGATCAACGACTTGTAAGACCAAATTCTGTAAAAATAAAAATAAAACAAATAAAACAAATTTTCAATTTTGAGTAATCTTCTGCATTCTTGTTTTGTTGCTAGCCGTTGGTGGATAAAGTTAAAATTTGGGGACCTTCCTTGTCACTGTAATATGCAATTTTCTGATAGATTTGAGTTATGGGGAATTTTCTGGTAGTTCTTAAGTCCCAAGATTATGATGCAAATACAGCTATGTATTTGTGTCTATGAGTATGATTTAGTTGAGGATGTTTTCTGGTATGTCTTGTGTGAGGTGTATTTTTTTTTTTTCTTTGAAGGAGAAGTTCTGGATTTTAGCAACTAAATATTGTTTCTGTGATGAAAACCATAATGTGGGTAATAGATCTTCTGTTCAACTCAATACGATTTTTCTGTGAAGGAGTTTTATACTCTTCTTTAGTAAATTGCCATTCTTTTGCTGCTAAGGATGAAACGTACGGCATACTAGATAGCATCATTAAGGGATAATCGCGTCGTGAACATGCTGTAATCCTCCAACTGGAGGGATTTTTTTTTTTTTTTTTTTTCAATTTTAAGAGGGTGTAATAAGTGGCTTAAAAATATGTGTGAAAGGTTTTATGTGGAGTGATTTAATTAGAGGGAATATTTTGAAATTTTAAAAGGAGTGTGTAACAAGTAGAATGGATGGTGGATTAAGAATGCGTATGTAAATACTAAAACGAGGAGCGTCTATTACCCTATTTTGTAATGTTTTCCTTCATATGTCAGTTCTTGTCGGTGTCGTTTACTAACTTTACTGTTGGTTTTCTTCTTTGTGTCGTTTAGCTATTTATTGTCGTTCATGTTCTAATTTATGTCGTTTATTCACTCTTGTGTCGTTTTTCCTTTTTCGTTGTTCATTCATTTTAGTGTTTTATGCTTTTTATTATTTTTGCATTGTTTTCACAGTACTTTTTTGTTGTCGCACTTCCATTTTCTTTTTTTTTTACTCCCCAGTTTAGTGTCGTTTTTAGCTTTGGTTGCGTTTTCTTCTTTGTAGTCGTCTTCATTATCGTACTGTCTTTTATTCCTTTTTTTGTCATCTTTTCATGTTTCCATTCTATTGACGTTTGGATAATTTTGTCGCTTATTCAATTAAGTGTCGTCAGTATTATGTTTTCATTTTCTACTTGCATGTCGTTTATGCCTTTTAAGGTCTTTCATTGTTTTTTTCTAGTGCCGTCTTGGTGTTTGTGTCGTTTATAAATTTGTCGTCCTTCATGCTCGCTGTCTATTCTTTCCTGTGCCGTGGTTCCGTTCCGTTTTATTGTCGTTTTTCAACTTAGTGTAGTTCAATTGTTGTCGTTTTTCCTCTTCTTGTCATGTCGAGTTTCTTTGTGAAATGGACGTCGTGTTGTTGTGTTTTCGCTTTACTTCTTCGTCTCCATCCCATAACGCTCTTATCATTTCATTAAAAAAAAATAAAAACTCAGTGTGTCCCGAGTCTCCTGACGCGTCAAAGTCTTACCCAAAAGTGGACTTACAACACAAGCAACTAAAAGTGGACGTTGTTCTTATATTGAGGGTGAAATATTATGAATTTTGTTTGTTCTGTCTTGTTTGTTCATTCTTTCATCTCTTTCAAAGCCAACGTGGAGAATTAAGCCGTTTAATTCTTAACAAAAAAATTTCATTAGCTTCAATTACAAATATACCATGATATAAGATGGTTATAACATCATTTCAAAGTAATTGGACAAGGTATTTTTTTTCCCCCTACTTTCCTAATTCTTTTTGGCATCATATTGTATTAAGGTTCCAATGATAGTACTTACGCTTGGAATTGCAGCTAGGAGGAAAGCGAGTTGGGATAATATGGCTGGGAAATATAGGCTCTAAATTAAAGTTGCAAAAACACTTGTGCCTTTCGGCTGCAGAATCGCATAAAACTATAGGAAGAAGAATCCATCGGTTCATATCCTTACTACACAACTGTTCATGATCTTGCAGCTAATAGTGACATTCTCATTGCTCGTTGTGCACTCACAAAAGAAACACACCACATAATCAACAATGATGTGTTGAAGGCCTTGGGAAAATGCGGAGAACTGGTGAATGTTGGACGCGGAGCGCTTGTCGATGAGGAGGAGCTTGTCAAGCTTCTGGTGCAAGGGGAGCTTCGTGGGGCGGGGCTCGGTGGGGCGGGGCTCGATGTCTTTGAGAATGAGCCTGATGTTCCGAAAGAGTTGTTTGAATTGGATAACGTTGTGTTTTCTCCTCATTGTGCCGTTGTTTTACGCCAGAGTGCTTTGATGCATTGGAGGAGCTGATCATTGCCAACTTGAAGGCCTTCGTTTCAAATGAGCCTTTGAGGGTCAGTGATCAACTCCTGAATGAGGCTTCTAGATATTTGGTGTTAGAGATCCATTTTCGGTATTGTGTGTTTCTCAATGTTAAACTTATGATTTTAGAATTAAAAATTATGCAAATTTTACGAGATTTGATATGTTATTTATTATTATTGTTGAAAATGTAATCATTACATATGTGTTAGTGCGTCAAAACTGTCACATAATAGTGTGAGACTTGATAAATTTATTTTTATTTTTTATGATCATATAATAATTCTACTGCTACAAGTAGGATGATGCATTATTGTGGTGATGATCATAATAGTATAACTTGTGGATGTATCGGTATAATGTTTTGTTATTTGGTATTAGAGTCAACTTAAAAACACTCTGGTTGTGATATTGTGTTTAGTACCGCAGTCAGTTTCACTTTCTGCGTGTGAATCATCTTGGTGATTGTGACCGTTGTAAAAAAATGGACAAAGATGGTAATTCATCTGCCCAAGTCTCTCTATTCAAGGAAAAAAAAGAAAAATAGAATATGTCTTAACTTCCTTTTCCAACCGCATTAAGGATGGTTGGGTGGATGTGAGTGTGATTGAGTTTACGAATTTTGATTAATATAATAGAAGTTATAGACAACAAAACATATATATATATATATATGTATAAAGGGGAAAAAAAAAGAAAAAAAGAAGATGGTCTAAAATTTCTAGATCCATCATCTTTGCAGACTATATATGTACGCTTCTTTTTTTTTTTTTTTGAAAAGTATTTTTATAATTTTGGTGTCTGAAAAGGGCTATACTTGCATAATGCTATTTTGTATAGGATATACAAGAGACTTTCATTACATAAAAACGACAAACTCCGAGGCGCCTAAAAACGACACCAGGAGCTCTTGACAAAGGAGCTGCAGGGTACAAATTATCATCAGATTGAATACCCAAATAACTTGATACATAAATAAAATATACAATTATAATTAGCAATTAAATGTTATAAAAAAAACTTGTTAGCGAAATTGAAAGTCTAATTAGAATTTACAAGATTCCTTAATTCAAAGCAAATTTTTGGTCTAAAAATTTATCAATCATCGAAGGCTGCAAAGATCTCTCTGGATAATGATAAAGCAAAGCCCTGGTCTCAAAAAGAAGAGAAGAAGACGTACTACAAGAGTATAGCAGATTTACAATTAAAAAAAAAAGGGGTAAATGTGCATAGTTAATTTATTCAAAGCCAGGAGATAGTGATCACAAACAGAAACAATGTGCTTAAGCAGCCACACTGAAGGTAAAATAAAATCGAATAAAATTAAAACATATATATAAGCCCTCCAAGGGGCAACATTTATCAATCATGCACAAAATATAGTTCATGAAAACCCAGCCAAAGAGTCTTTTATTTGGAAATTCTGTTGCTATGAAGGTCTTGAGTCTTCCTGAACAACTTGTGCTCGATATGCTGCGCAAAGGTGCGTGGAGGGTATCGCGGAGGCTCCTCCTCGGAGACCGTCTCTGGCAGCGGCTGGAGGATGATCTTCTCCTTCGGTGGTTCGCAGAAAACCGCCCAAGAGATCCTCACCTTCTCCTTGTTGACGAGCCCCCGGTGGAGAATACTCTTGTACTTGCCATTGCTCAATATCTCTATGGTGTCACCAATGTGCATGATGATTGAGTTAGGAACGCATTTTGCCGTCACCCATTTGCCTTGATAGAAGAGCTGCAGGCCGGGCACCATGTTGTGGAGGATGAAGGTGAGGGCGCTCACGTCGGTGTGGGCCTCGACGCCTAGGGCTAGCTCCGGTTGAGGGCATCTCGGGTAGTAGTTTATCTTCATTTGGAGAAGAAACTCCTCCATCCCTCCAACTTCCTTCTCTAGTCTTCCTTCTTCCAACCCTAACCCTAGGGATAACGTGGAAAGTATGGTGGTCGCAAGCCCCCGCAGTTGCCTAGCGTACTCACTCGTCGCCTCTCTATACACAACACAAGGCAAAAATAGAAAATCAATTATAAAAAATGGTAGTGTATGTTAATCAATTTAATTGTTCAAAATTATTCACCATTAATAATATATAAAGCTATATAAAGATTGTGTTTTTTATCTTTTTTTTTTTTTATCTAATCAATACTCATAGTGTAACAGTAAGGATGTTTTTCCTTTTTCTCCTTTCAGGAATCGTCCAATCTCAAACTCTATAGCTACAATCAGAGAGCTTGCCCCACCAATGAGATATGCGAGGTCGAATTCATTGGTGGTGTGAGTGAAACTGGACCTATTCTTCAGGTGAAATAGAATCAAGACCTTTCTCATTTTATTAACGGATTCCGAAATTTCTTCTACAAATGATGAGAATGGGGATGAGATGGTATATTTTTAAAAAAAAAAAAAAAAAAAAAAAAAAAAAAAAAAGGAAGAGCAAGAAAAACTCACTTGTAGTCAGTTGGTGTCTTGGGCCAAATGGACAAGTCACGCTTGTCCTCAGGGTAAACAAGGTGAAAGAAGTAGTCCTCCCACTCAAGCTGCCCACAAGCATTGTTTGCGAGCTTGCTTCCATAGCCTTGGATCTTCCCTGTTGCCTGGTCGTTCGCGTACTTCTCCTTCTCCTCGATCGGAAGGTCAAAGAATGTCTCACCGGCCTTCTTCACACGCTCGATGAGCTCGTCAGGGATACCATGGTTGACAAGGTGCATGACACCCCACTCCGCGGCCGCCTTCTTTAGCTCCTCATTGCATTTCTCCCTCTCAACCCGGTCCTCAGAGTTTATGCTCTTCAAGTCAATGGTCGGGACCCGAGGCCCTTCCTCTTTTTTCTCTTCTTCGAACACATTTCCGATGCTTGCCAGCTCCTCTTGTGGCCTCACGTACTCTTGCGGGATCACCTCAATCCCACTGCTCGCCAACCTTTCAACTCTTGGAGCCACAGAGATCACCATTATATTGATGTTATATTAGCCTAATTTGTACCACTACTTTTCTTTCTTACCGTAGTACTTGACGTGCTTTGTTTGTGGCTTTTATAAGATGAGTAGGGAAATTAAAGGTGGGTGAGGGAATGAAATAATTAGGGAAGAAATTGTTACTATAATTATTATTTTTTTAAAAAAAAAAATCAGTACATGGTACTATGTTTGTATAGTTTAATGGAGGAAAATTGGATTTGTGGGAATGGCAGTTATTCACGTGACTATATAGTTTGCCAACCTCTATTCTCAATGTCTCCACTCTCCATGGAGAGTAGTAAGAGATATATGAGGCTTTGACTGGAGGATTGAGGCATGGTGGAAGAAAACCCATACTGTTCCAAGAGTCACTCTCTCTTGAATTAATTAACGACTAAAAATTGTTGGGCAAAAACGTCTCCAAAGATAGGAAAATATTCGGACTTTCCAAATTTACATTGTCGGATTTCAAAATGGGAATTTATAGGATCGGTTTGGTAAACTAGTTCAAGTGGTTTGAGCCAAAAAAAAACATTTCAAACTAGTGTTTGACAAATCATTGTAAGTTTTTGTTCAAACCATTTATTTGATATTTTGAACCAAAAAACATCAAAGAAATCTGAGTTTAACCCTCCTTGTTTCAAGTGGTTTGAATCATTTTTTCTTTTCAAACTTTCAATTTCAATAAAAAAAAAATTCAAAACACTACATTTCTTACATGTTTACTAAAAGGACCCATGATAAAAAGGGTAATGATATGGGTGCGATCATACGAAGTTGTGATTTTAGTTTACTTGCATGATAAGAATAATAATATTGTAGAGTTCAGTGACTGAGATTCTGGTTTTGTAGAAAATCATCTCTATGAAAGATCAACCATCATTCTCAACGCTCAAGTGGTGGAGCAGCTTAATTCCAAGACAAATAAAAATAAAAAAATAAAAAAACAAGAAAAGAGCAGTGGGGCAGCTAACTTTGTCATGTAGCTCCTATATTATGTATGCCATTGTAGAATTTAATTTCCTCTTGAAATTTTAGTTTCATATATATATATAGTGTGTGTGTGTGTGTGTGTGTGTGTCGGAACAAAATTAGGAAACTCCAATATTCTATAAAATAATATGATAACTAAATGTGGGGGAGATATCTGAAAAAATTAAGATATTGTCTAACTAGTTGGGGAGTAACGGTTAAAAAATAGATAAATGAAAACAAAATACATTGCGGTTTAAAACATTTAATTAATTACTTAAACAGTTGTTTTTTTATAAAATATATAATTAACTAACTGTTATTAGTCACAATATCTTTGAAATTTAAGATCACACAAATAAGCTTCTCTAAATTGAGAGAATAAAAGTGACCAATGGAACCACTTCAAACTGTATTTATCTCATAATCGCAAATAAAATTAATGTGATTCATGGTCCCTTGTTAACTATGGCAGCTAAAGAACCCAGTTTAGCAGGAAAAAAAAAAAGATCAATGGAAATAACTGATCGGTTTATCTTTACAATCTTGGAAATTATGTATACGCGAAAAGATAAAGCAAAAGTGCTAACAAAACGTGTAGATTTTTTCTTTAAGAAACGTGCTACAATTAACAATGAAATGAAAACATCAACGTTACTTGTACTTAGGGTACAAGTATGGAGCTTCTTATATATGTATGCTTTCCATTGATATTCCTCTTTTTTCAGATAAAAAAATATTAAAACTTTGATATAAATATATTAAAATGAAGTTTATAATATCTCACCGAAACTTTGATATTTTAAAGTCTATTCAGTAAAGCTTTTTTTAGAAGACACGTTTGGTAATTGTAATTAGAAGCTCTGCTAGATATCTAAATTAGCTCTTCTCACATATCATTCAAACACTTTTAAAAATAGTTTTAACACGGGCTTGTTCATTTGCATTTTTTGAATTAGGGTGACTTGAGTTCAGATCTTGATTTGAGTTAAGGTGTATTTGACTATGGTTTGAGTTGAGACTCTAATTTGAGTTTGTATTTGGATGTGCATATTTTGAGTTATAGTTTGAATTAAAAATCTATTTGAGTTTGTGTTTGGGTGGGTCAAAACTTGAATTTATATTTATATAGTATTTTAATAAAAGCTCAATGGTGATGGAAAATTTTAATAGGGTATATGGATGGGTTTTTTTTGTCTTTTCGTTGTGAATGCATAGAAAAAAATCATCTCAATTAGAATTAAAATGAAAAAGTTATGACATTTTGAAATTTTGAGAAGAAAAAAATATGTTATTAACTTTTTTAGAACTGAGTTTCGTGAATGGGATCAACTCAAAAAATGCTGCTGAACTTGAGCCTTCACTTGAGTCTTCACTCAAGTTTGTCCCCCGTGAACACAAACTTGAGCTTGAAATGAGACTCAAATTGGGCTTTCTTGAGTTTAGCACCCCAAACGAACAGAGAAAGCCGAAAACAGCTTGAGGAAGCACCATGATCAAAAGGTCCATAAATTTAAGTACTCTCTTATACCTAATCTTTCGAAGTTACTTTTGTTAATGGTAAAGTATCAGTAAGATTTTTATTTACCCTCACTATTTTTGGATGTAATATAAGTATATATATATATATATATATATATATATATAATGATTAGCCTGCCTTTCATTAAAAACAAAAACTAAATAGTGATTTTCACTTCTTATTAGCTTCTTTATATATAGGGATGGCATATAGAATTTATTCCCAAGTTCCATTTGTTTTAAATTAGCTTGTCACAATAACTTTTTTTTCTGCGATGTATGTGCGTAAACATTATACAAATATATAGAGGAGATTGACTATATAAATATATGTGTATTTGTACACATGCATGTTAGAGTTGGATAATGGAAAACTTGGCAAGAAAGTACACATTTATATATGAAAGTGATGGTCTTTGCGGATATCGCACCCCCACCAATCCATATAAGGAACTTAATAGATTTTCATGCATCTACCAAACATCATTATAATCACGTTTCAGCTAACGCCTTCACCTACCAAACAAGTCAAAACAGTTTTCCCAACCCAAAAAAAGAAAAAAAAAAAAAAAAAAAAAAAAAAAAAAAAAAAAAAGACCAGCAGTTTTAGATGTGTCTTCTATGCAACTTATGTCTTCTTGGTATTTTGAAGTACTTGTAACATGATATTGATATATTGGAAAAGGCAGTGAGTAATGTGAATGACAAAACTTTTGCTGTCTCAAGTGAATATATACTTTTTATCAACCACGTGGAAGTATGTACATGAACAAAATAAACCATATCCCAAACACGAGCTGCATAGACATAAGGTTGAGATCTCCTTTAAGAAATTATTTCACTTGATTACTCCCAACTAGAGCTATAAGTTTGAGTCGAGCTAAACGGGCTGACTTGAGACCGTCACTGTTGGCACGGCCCGGCCCGAACCTTCAGATCGGACTGAGATTTTAAGCCTAAAACCTTACATGTCCCGAACACCCCTTATTTTAATATTTTCTTGAAAATACTTTATAAAATTTCGGGCAGAGTTGACTCTAGGCCAATCGGACTTTAAGACTGGGCTAAGTCGACTATCCTCTCTCTATAACAGGACCACATTGTCCCGAACTTTCTATCCGAGCCGGGTGGCCGAACTTCACCTCTATTCTCAACAAGTCGAAACTGTCAATTACACTATCATAAAACGTGAGCAGAAGTGACATTTTAAAATTTGTTGATTCTAAAAGCTCATTTAGTTCGCTGATTCGAGTTTTTAATTCGAGTTGAGATGTGACTTTATGTGAGAGCTTTTTACTGTAACAAAAAAGCTAAATGTGACTGTTTCTGAAAAAATTTTACTATAGCAGAACTCAAATTATAAACTTGAATCGGTGAAATATACGGGACTTAAATGGGTATAGTACTGTATATTAAGAAGTTTAAAATTTCTTTGCCTTGAGAAGTATAACTGTCGGTAAAGACAATGGTTGTTGCGGAAATTACGAGTCTTCTTATTTAGCTAAGATAAGACTATTAGAAGTCTTTTTCAATAGTCTTAAGGAGAGTATAAATAGGGGGTTTAGTGGCTAAGGAGGGGAGAATCAGATTTGTAGAGAGTGTCTAGTGATGTGCACTATTTTGGAGGTCGGGAGTCCTCGAAACTGCCCATTTATCTTATAATTTTCCATTTCTAGTATTGTTAATGAAGCATAGATTTTCAGGATCCTAACAATGGTATCAGAGCATCTACGATCCATGGAGCTCTTTGAGTTGAGAGAGAAACTTCGGGCTGCTCTAAGAGCTAATCACAAGGTTTCTGGAGGGAGTATGGGGAAACTCCAAGACCATGTGGGGAAGATTCGGACCCAGATGGGTGGCGTGCAGGTGGCGCTACGGAGGATGGAGGCACTGCTGGCGGCGCGGCCGATGGCCGGGGAGGCCGAGTTGGGTCGCGACGGCGAACGACGGGAGGGGGAGAAGTGAGATCACGCGCCTCGAGGTGAGGAGAGCCCAGATTGTGTTGACCCAGGCGGAGTGAAGGTGCCAAATCGGGCAGATCTTCGCCGGGAAGCGCTGATTCGCGAAGATCGAGGCCGCAAGAGGGAGTTCTGACGCCGGAGAGACATGGGTCTCCTGGAGGAGCGCGAGATCTGTTGCGATCTGGGGCTAGGTGGTCCGGATCTACAGCGCGAGGGTTTGTTCGATGATGGGAGGAGGGCAGAAGGAGGTCGCGACCGTCGGGAGAGGGCGGCGGAGCTTGGTCGGCGACGGGAAGTGGAGTGGGAGCCGGAGTTAAAGGAGGAGAGGCTTGCTCCGAGACTGGGACGGCATGGGCACCCTCGGAACAGGGAACCCAGCCCTGATTAGGTCACGGTTGGGGCTGATTCTGGCCCGGTTTGGACCATACCTCGCGATCCCGGCATGGAAGGGGTTGGTTCCGGTGCTACAGAGACAGATTCTGGCGCGACGGAGGCTGGGCTCGACGATTTGGCTGTTGTTTGGACCGGGCCTCGCGATTCCGGCGTGAAAGGGGCTGGTTCCGGTGCTACGGAGGAAGATTCTGGCAGAATTGGAGTGGGGTCCATGAATTCTGATGCCCTTAAGGCTGGGTTTTGTGATTTTGACGCCATTGGGGCTAGCTCCGGCGAGACGATGACTAGGACAGGGAATTCTGATGCGAAATCCGGTGATTTTGGGGCTGAATCCCGAAATTCTGTTCGGAAGTGGGCTGGGTCTAGTGTTTTCGGTATGGGCAGAGTCAATTTTGGGGTTGGGCCTCGTAATTACAATATTAGTAGGCCTAATTCTGGTGCAATGGCAGTCGAGCCTCAAAACTTTAACACGTTTGGGGCTGGGAATGGTACGATTGCAGATGGGAATGAAGAAATTGGTGAGAGTGAGGCTGTAAGGTTGATGTCCTGGTTGGCTAAGAAGGAAACTCCCTTAGTGAGGATCGATTTGCCAATATTTTTTGTGACCATTGATGAGCTTGCGTAGAGAGTTTCAAATGAATTGATAGACTTTGTGGTTGCTTTTCAAGATACAAAGAAGTGGAGAAGAAAGTAATTGATTGGCTCCAATTTGAAGATACGACTTACGAGGATAACATCAATTTGGGGACTCAAATCAAGGAACTAACAAAGCCTTTTATTCTTAATCATTTAGATGTTATTTTTCAATTTTATTTCTTGATTTTCACCTTGAGGACAAGGTGATTCTTTGTGGCGGGGGGAATGTTAGGAACCTAATATTTCGAAGTCTTTTTCAATAGTCTTAAGGAGAGTATAAATAGGGGGTTTAGTGGCTAGGGAGGGGAGAATCAGATTTGTAGAGAGTGTCTAGTACTGTGCACTATTTTGGAGGTCGGAGGTCCTTGAAATCGCCCATCTATCTTGTAATTTTTCATTTCTAATATTGTTAATGAAGCATAGATTTTCAGGATCCTATCAGTCCCACATCATTATGAAGTAAAAAGAAAGGGTTTCTCAGGTCTATACAAAGAATCCAAAGTGTTTCAAATTGTTAGCACGACTTCAAGAATTGATTTTTGGCTTTAGTTGAGGATGGTGGTTACTAAGGACCATATTTAGGATTATGAGGTGTTATAATCCAACAATTTCTCCCTTAACATTTTATCATTTATCATATTAAAAAATTTTCATCCTCTCATCCTTAATATACAATATCTGTTACGTAACAACTAAATGCATCATTGTATCGTAATTATATCCAATAACAAAAATAATCCACTTTTCTTAGTAAAAAGAAAAAGTACTTTTTTTTTTAATAAAAAAAGTCACATCTTAGACATCATATTGACATTAATGATGAGCTCAATATCTTCTATTTATACTCTGTAAAAATTTCTGTTTGGGTGCATAAAAATTCTAATACATCCTTGATTTGCATTAGACATGTACGGGGAAAATTCTTACTTAGGCAATGTCATTGTTATGAAACAAAACTCATACGGGTCCAATTTGAGCAGAAAAACACTTCTAGGCTACTCTCAGTAGACGGCGAATCACATACAAAATATAAACAATTTAACATTATTTTCTATTAAACCCACTAGGCAATAGATTTTAAAGTTTGAAGAGTCGATCAAGATTTACCAAATGTAAGAAGTTCAGGGGGCATATGTGGACTGTGTAAAAAAATATCTCGTTCACTTCACCGATTCGAGTTTAGAATTTGAATTTTGTTACAGTAAAAAGTTCTCAAAAACAGTCACATCTAATTTTTTTACTACAATAACAAGCTCTCACATAAAATCACATTTCAACTCGAATTACAAAATCGAATTAATGATGTGTGAGGCCAGCAAGGAAAGACATGAACAGCATGAAAACGACCAACAAGCTGAGGTGTCAGATTTATGAGACGCAAAACAAAACAAAACAAAAACTGTTGTGAAACGAAACTGTTTTTTTGTGTTTGATATTTGGAAAGCAGAGGACAAAAAAGCCGTTGCATTTCCCTCCACACATTCCACCATTGCCTTATCTCTTGAGTTCTCTTCCATGTCTCTCTCTTTTCTTTCCCTCCAAACACACAAAATAATCAATCCACTCCTCTTCACCTCCCTAGTCCCTGAATCTGAGCCTCCAATTCTTCTGTTGTTTCTCCAAAATGGCTAGCAAGTTAGCCTTCACTTTGACATCTCCAAGACGACCTTTCTCTTCACTTATTCAAAGACCCTTTAATCCTCTCTCTTCTTCTTCTTCGGCAAGAGTTCAGTCGTTTAACTTCAACGGACGACAATTATGCCTTCGTCGCAGGCTCTCTGTGCTAGTTCCCACTAAGGCCACTGCTGACCAAGAAGGTTAGTCATGATCATCTCTATCTCCCCGAGACTTTGATCTCCAGTTTTCTATATGTGTGTGTGTGTGTGTGTGTATATATATATATATATATATATATGTATATATACATATATTTATCTATTCTATTGATTGAGAAGAATATTCCCGTAAAATCTTAGGAATTTTGAAATCTTGTTATGAATAAGATGAGCATTTTGTTTGCAGTAAAATGACAAAATTTGATGAGAATGTTTGGTCTTTATGAACTTTAGATTTATTTGCTTATAAATCCATATACTGACTGACACCGATGTGTTGTTCCAGGCAAGGTTGAAGAAGATGAGTTTGTTGACAGCAAAATTTTGCCATATTGTAACATAGACAAGAAAGAAAAGAAGTCCTTGGGAGAACTTGAGCAAGAATTTCTTCAAGCTCTACAAGTAATTTCATGTCAAATTTTGACTAGAAGAAGTTATTATTCATTTGGGGTGCTAAGGTGTTTTTTTTTTTTTTTTTTTTTTTTTTTTTTTTTTTTTTTTTTTTTTTTTTCTTTCTTCTTCTTAATTTATTATTATTCATGTTCTTCTACAGGCATTCTATTATGAGGGAAAAGCAATAATGTCAAATGAGGAATTTGATAATCTCAAAGAAGAATTAATGTGGGAGGGCAGCAGTGTTGTCATGCTAAGTATGGACTCATTAAATATATATATATATATATATATATACTGTTCAAGATTAAAAAATAATAATTTTTTCTAAGTTCTAACTTTGAAACCATTTTATAATTCTGCAAATGCAGGTGCTGATGAACAAAGGTTTCTGGAAGCTTCAATGGCTTATGTGTCCGGGAACAAGATTATGAGCGACGAAGAGTTTGACAAACTGAAACAAAGACTAAAGGTTACATCAATATAGTTTCTAGCATCAGCTTAACAGATTTATGGAATTATTAGTTGTTCATCTTTCTGGCAATGACATGAAGCTCATTTACTCTTACTTGCTTTACAGAGTGAAGGAAGTGAGATTGTAGTCGAAGGTCCTCGATGCAGTCTCCGCAGTAGAAAGGTGAGTCGATTTCTCTGTGATCTACCTTCCCTTTAAGTTTGGTTTTGCAGAGATCTCAATTTTCTATAGAGGTTTAGATTTCAAAGTCTAATGAATTTTCTTTTTACCTTGTAGGTTTATAGTGATTTGTCTGTTGACTATCTCAAGATGTTCCTATTGAATGTCCCGGCGGCCGTTGTTGCGCTAGGATTGTAAGTGATAACGTCTCCATTGAATTCTCAAACGCTTATCTTAAACATTTAGAAATCAACCTCTAGAGAATAGCCACTGTATGTTGTGCCATTAAACTTCTTTTGATTAACAGAAGAAAGTTGAAGTTTTTAGATACCAGAATGTAATGTCCTCCTTGCTTTGCTGGTGTTAACATTTCCTTCTTAATCAGACTAAATCTTTCCTGCTAAAGTACTAAATTACCTAACTTGTAATTGGTTTCTGATCATACAAGGTTCTTTTTCTTGGATGATATAACTGGATTCGAAATCACATATCTCTTGGAGGTATGTACCAGTACTCATCGTTATATTTGCATATACCCTGTTCCAATCCTGCAAAATAGAAAAGGATTCAGCTGCAAATTCTTCACTTTTTTTTCCGCGCCTTGCAATACTTTTCTAGTACACATCAACATGCTTTACATTTTTCATTCAATTTCCGAACTAAAATTTGTGTAAATTGATTTCGAGCTGCAGTTGCCAGAACCATTTAGTTTTATTTTCACATGGTTCGCCGCGGTGCCCCTCATAGTCTGGCTATCTTTGACATTCACTAATGCTATTGTCAAAGACTTTCTGATCTTAAAGGTAGCCTTTTCTTGTGAATTCTCGGAAGCCATTTCAAGCAAACAACAAGATGTGTTACGGTTTTTTTTCTTTTTTTTTTTCAATATTAACATGTTTAAGGTTCTTCTCTACCATCTAGGGCCCTTGTCCCAACTGCGGAACTGAGAACACCTCCTTCTTCGGGACCATATTGTCGATCTCCAGTGGCGGTACGACCAACAAAGTAAAATGCTCAAAGTAAGTTTGAAGCTATCACCATAATTATAAAGGTGTGATTTTTAGAATAGACTGTATATTCAAACTGACAAAAAATGAAAATTTGTTCCTCAGCTGTGCAACTGAAATGGTGTACGACTCGAATACCCGCTTGATCACATTGCCAGAAGGAAGCAGCGGTTGATTTGCAGGTACATTTTCTATAATGAGATTATAGATTTGCTAATAGTTTATACACATGACGAATCATATACACATTGCTTGTGTGTTTATCCTTGGACAAGAACTTTTTAAAAAAATTATGCGGCAGTTGACAAATACAGGGATATATAACAAGGTGCAGAGACAAATGCATTCTATGGGATATAAAGCTTGTGTCACTGACTTGTTAAGGTGGAAGCCAAGGATGTCACAAATACCTGTATTTAATCCTTTTTGTGGGGAAGGGAATTTTTCTTCATTTTGTAGGGTTGAGCGACATCTAAAGTATGTTGTTATGTGAATATTGTACAATCTGTGTGTATGCTTCTTTACATACCCAACAAGCTTATTTGTAAGGGGACCCAAAAAAAAAAAAAAAAACAGAAAAAAAAAAAGAAAGATTTAAGGGACAGAGAACATAACTAAGCAGGCTGGTCTCCACAAGAGAGAGTGTGTAAACATCGTGATGTAATTCCGTTAGATAATAACATCACATGTACAAATTCTTAGCTGCAGTTTTTTTTTTTTTTTTTTTTTTTTTTTTTTTTTTTTTTTTTCCCCCCTCCTTTGAACACCCGAATGCATACCTCTCTTCAAATTCTTATTTAAGTAATGGATTTGAAATAGCATAGTTCAACTTCCATACAAATTCACCACATTCAAAGCCAGATCATACATTTGAGAAGAGATCTCTTCTTTGGTAGTCTTTGTTTAGTTTTTCATATTTTATCTTTTCTTTTAAACAGTAAAATGGGCCAGAAGATTCTGAGGATAAGCTATTCAAGCAGTAAGCATCCTTCTGTACTAAAAATTCATATAAAGCAATATTTTCCAATGTTTAACATACTTATAACCTACAAATCAGCACCTACACAGCATTGTAGCATATAAACACATCCTCCTGAAACAGCAAATCAAACTAACTCCCAAAAACGACTGATAGATCAGAGACCCCTTCCAAATATGGCACCGAAAAGCAAACATCACCAACTTTATTCTCTATATGATAGCCACATCCAAATAATCCCCAATCTGAATCATCAAAAACCACACTTGTGAGAAATAAGAACATCCATAGAATCAAATTGTGTTGATGTAGTTGGAAGCTTGAAATTCTATTTTGTACCTGGAAATCAAGCCCACCCAATGCCTTGTCATCGTCTATTCGTCTCCCATTTCCACAAGAATGTGTCATCCCCACCTAGAGAAAAGCCATAAAAACCCACAGCGTGTTAGTAAACAATCAGAATAGCTTTAACAACTATGTGAACAAATGGGAAGATTGGAAATTCACTCGACTAGCTAGTATTCAAAAGCATGGAATTCTCACTTCAAAGGTAAAGCTGTACCCCTTACCTGTTTCAACACGAAACGACCACGTTTATCAGGGTATACAAAGGCAAAGGATAGTTTTGCATTTCTTCTCCTAGCTGCTGGAGCTACCTCTTTGACCTGGAAAATAACTGGAATCATTTACAGAACTAAGTTGGTGAAATATGGAACGGGGGGTTACACAACGGTATGGAAGACATACAAGATCAGTTAGCTCGCGTAGTGTTGCATCTTTCCATGTATAAATTTGAACCTCATCTTTGGGTTCCTTGCCCCTCACTGCAAAATCTTCTTCGTTGTGATGGCCTCCAAGCTGCATGGTGTGCGGGAAACGAAAGGCGAGTAAAGAAGTTGAAAAAAAGAGCAAGTGATAATGAAAGTATTTGAATTTTTGTGAAAAGAAAACAAACATGAGTTGTGATTCGAATTAGCGGGCAGAACGGGCCAAAACGTAAGTTACAGTAAAGAAGTTAAGAACCAGGTGTAACACACATCATTGCTACAATCAAAAGAAACATTTAGAATATGATCCTTTTATAATACTACACTAAAATAGGGATACAATATCTAGATATACATTTGGTAAAAACTATCTCCTTCAAAAAAATTAAAAAAAAAAAGGAAAAAAGCTGCTTCTTATATTTTCTCTCTCTCTATAACTAGTTATGTTCAACAAGAACCCATCACTACTCATCTATACTAAATTTATCTTCTTTGTTCTTTCTTTTCAGTTAACCCACAAAAGTTTGTTTCTTTAAATGATAAATCAAGAAAATTTACAAAACACAGAAAAATTTCTCAAGAAAAAAAAAGAAAAAGAAACCCATTAAAGCATGCAAACTATTGAGTTCTACATACCTTCGTGAAAACGCGAAGCAACAAAGGGCAAGTCTGCATCAAATGAAAAAAGAAATTATTATTGAAAAAAAGAAACAAAAAACAATAATTGAGAAGAATAATCGAGAATGTGAAAGAAATTAGGAACCTTTTCGCGATCAACGGGTTCGAATCGGGGGCGAGGGATAACCGGTGGCGGAGCTCTTGAGTGAGGCGGCGGAGGGCCCGGACGTCCACCGGCGGAACCGGTGACCGGGAGCGGTCGGGAGTGAGGCGGCGGCCTAACTCCTCCGGCAATCTTGTCGTCTCTGCTTCGCTTCTCCATTGTTAGGTTTCACTGTAACACTAAACTTCCTTCTACGGTGTTTTACTGTTTTTGTTCTAGAAAGTTTTTCTCCCTCCTATTTACACCACATTTAGGGCTCTTCTCGTGGCCCAACTGAGCCCTAGCTGGCCTCGTAAGTAAAGGGGCTTAGTCATTTCGGCCCAGATTGAGATTTCTTTCAACTTAAACGGCGGTGTCGTTCGACTTCTTTTCTATTTCTTTTTCTATAACGAAAATTTCGGATTTGCTATTTTATTAATTTTGTGACCGGTGCTATCAACTAATTATGCTTAGATTGGGGATAAGCTTGAAAAAGCTTATAATTTCTTGCAATACTTGGTCGGTTAGGTTTGTTTATGATTACTTGATTATACTACAATTTGAATAATAACCTGTCTAAAAGTCAAATACTTTTTTTTTTCCTTTTCAATGTCTAAACTTTTCTTAATTTCAAGTAATCATAAATAATTAAAAGAATTTTGTGGTATAAATAAAAAAAAAAAATACCATTGATAGCGCATAGTTTAAAACATCAGACCTTTCTTTCGAGTTCTGGTTAAGAATTGTCATGTTAAAGACTAATATATTAAGTTATTAACCAAAAATTAATAAATGTTTTTTAGGGGGTGTTTGATAGATGGATTCAGAATCATGATTCTGGATCTTGATTTAGAATAGTATTTGTTTACAGTGATTCAGAATCAGTGTTTGGTTTGGATGATTCTGAATCATAATTCAGAATCTGATATGATGTTATAAACTAGAATCGCTTACGATTCTAAAACCACCCCCCTCTTGATTCAAGGTAATTCAAACCTCTGATTCTGAATCATGGTTTCAGAATCATGATTTGAACCCAAAATCATAAATCATAATTCTAATTCTAAAATCGTGATTAGAATCACCTTAATTTAAATCATCATACCAAACAAACCTTTATTGTTTATCTGAACAAGAATATTGAGACAATAAAGTACGAAAGTAAAAAATCTACCTAAAAAACGAAAGAGACAGTATGGGTAGTCATCGAAATTAAAAATACGGGTGCTAAAAGAATTTAAATATTTAGTTTAAATAAAGTACAAAATTATATGAATTGAAGCCGTACAAATCATTATAAACAAATAAATAAATAAAAGTGAACATTTTATTTTGTAGATAAACTACAACCTTAGCTAGAATGCAGTTATTACCTACCACTTAGGAAGCACAAAGCACATACAAAACCTGCCCGCACGTCCCCTTGCCCATGAAAATATTTTGAGGCAACGAATGAACGGCTGAGATCTTATGGTTGGTTTCTCAATCTAAGCTTCTAAAATATAATAATCATTCTATATAGAATTTTGTACACCTTATTGCAAGACAATATATATGCATACAATGGACCTCAAATTCTTTCACTATATTCTTATAATATAAAACTCTAACTTGACTTGAAGGACATTATCTTCGTGGGGGTCACGAAGGCACATTAGAGAGTTAAGCAGTTGAAGAATTATATAAGGAAGCACGTCCTATCTAATGGCATTGTACTTTGTGATTATAGAAAAAGCCTGCCTTAGGCGTTATTAGAGAAAGAGCTCTAACCAATAGCTCACTAACCATGGCTGCTTTTGCTCATTCATTGTCCTTAATAAGCTTCTTCTTGATGGCACGTATGTTAGCCGGAACAACTGCGGCAAAAGTTGCTTCGCCGCGAACCATCTACTACCGACCAAGCGCTTGGGAAAAAGCTTATGCTACATTTTACGGTGATGAGACGGCACAAGAGACTATGGGTGCGTATAAATTATTATGTTCACAATATTTGTTTATGTTTTATCACGAGGTAGTTTTTAGGTTAATTTTTGTTTTTAAGCAATGTTTTTTATCGGTTTTTATGTCGATTAATGAAAACTTTTTAGAAGTTGGTTGATTTTTACAAAATGTATGCCCATTATAAGATTGTTTTACCAAATATAATCGTGATTATGACTTTGTGAAAAAGTTGAAAACAAGGGTCCAAAATCAATTTAAAAAAGGGAACATAAGAGGATCAATTGGCTAAGGAGATAAAAAGGGAGGCAAAAAAGTTAATAATTAGGATTTTTTTTTTTTTTTTTTTTTGCCCCTAATTGGAATTACAGGAGGAGCTTGTGGGTATGGAAACTTGTTTAACAACGGTTATGGAACGGACACAGCAGCCTTAAGCACAGCATTATTCAACAACGGTTATGCTTGTGGGCAATGCTTTCAAATAAGATGTGTTCAGTCCAAACATTGTTACTCAGGGTTCACCACCATCACCGCCACCAACATCTGTCCTCCCAACTGGTCTCAGGACTCCAACAACGGCGGCTGGTGCAACCCGCCCCGCCTCCACTTCGACATGTCCAAACCCGCTTTCATGAGAATTGCATGGTGGAAGGCCGGCATCGTCCCCGTTCAGTACCGCCGGTACGTATTTACACTTCTTGCTATCACAATAAAATGCATTATTAAACAATCACCAAATCACATGATGTAACAAAACAATTACATATGCCATGTAACGTTATTAATGTGTTTGTTTATGCAACCTGGACATTGTAACAATAAGAGTATGTTTGGTAGGAAAGAAAAATAGAAGGAATGAAGAATGTGGAGGGATTTTGCGAGGGAAAATAATACATGTGGGCTTTACTATTTTTTTCTTTCTACAAGTGGGCAGAAAATGGGATGAAAAATGGAGATAACTCATTAAAGTGAACAAAGTTACTAAATTACCCTTTTTTCCATCAACATCCAAGCAAAAAATTTAAGGGTATAAAAGTAATTTACGAGTAAGATTTTTTCTTTCATCCCAATTTAACTTCTAATACCAAACAAGTGAAGGTAAGCTCATTTTCTATTCATCTTCTCATACCAAACAACATAAAAGAAAATCAATTTTCTTTCCATCATTACTATTTTTCATCACTTTTATATTTTTTTTCTATCTTATTTTTTTTCCTTCCTACCAAACATAGCATAAAAGTAAGTTACCAAAATCTAACGTCTAATGTATATTTGGAAGTAGTAGTTTTTTGACGCGGCAAAATGGGAAGAGTTAAGTCAACTTTGTGGTTAAGGGGGGACCCCCAAAAATTAGAGAGAAACACAATTCTGATTTCAATATTTTAATATTTACATCTGTCTAATACAATTACGAATGTGTCAACTTGTCACTTATTCACGAGCGATAATAAAATAGCCACTAAGACATACGACATATTAAACAAATAATAAAATGAAAATTAAATTGATAAGCTAAAACAAACGACAACGCGAACAAAATTAAAAGAAACAGATTGAGTTATAATGAATTCTCACTTTTATAAGCTAATGCATCTCTCTACGTCTTGTAGAGTGCCATGCGTAAGGAAAGGAGGGCTAAGGTTCAGCTTCCAAGGAAATGGGTATTGGTTGCTGGTGTATGTGATGAATGTGGGAGGAGGTGGTGACATTGCAAGCATGTCAGTGAAGGGAAGCAAAACAGGATGGATAAGCATGAGCCACAATTGGGGAGCTTCATACCAAGCTTTTGCAACTCTCGGAGGCCAATCTCTTTCTTTTAGAGTCACTTCCTACACAACCAAACAAACCATTATAGCTTCGAATGTTGCTCCTGCTGATTGGCGAGTTGGATTGACTTACAAGACTAATGTCAACTTCCATTGATTTCATGGAGGACCCAAAAAAACAAAAACACAGAGATCTCCATTTTTGGTTGATCTGTTGCCCCTAAGGTCTTTCTTCTTTTTGCTTTTTTTTTTTTTTTTTTTTTGGGAGAATTTTCTATGTTTTAATAACCTTTATATATATAAGTATATATCCTTTTGTTGGATGAAAATGAACCCATGTTTTGCTTAAAACCGTTTGGTTTAGTGGCACTGGGATGTTTAAATGTGAAAGAAAGTTGCAGGTTCAATCTCATATTGTATAAAAGAAAATAAACTCATATATATATATATTAGAGCAGAGATGCTCCTGAGTGACCAACTATTTGTTTTGGGCGAGTTGGTTTTCTCATATTGAGTAAATATTGTCTTGCTTATTATACATAATATGTAATGTAACATCTTTATCCACTCTTTTCGTACTTAAAGAATGCTACTTTTGGCTTCTTGAACCTTTCATTCCTCCAAAATGTTTTCAATTTCTGTTCATCTTTTCGGTGAAAAGAGGAATGATTTCATTTCCTCTTGATCACTTTCAATGGACCAAATTCTTTCTCAAACACGGCCAGCAATGCAATCATTCTTGTTTGAACTGTACTTAGTCAATAGGAGACTTGAGATAGGATAAGACAAAAAGTCTTAATCCATAAATCCTACCCGTAATTTGTTGTTATGAGTCTAACGTTAGATTACACCAAAATCATATTTTAAAACAAAAGGAAAACAAACTTAACGAATTTTAATGAATATCTAAGAATCAAAGTTGCGTCCATTTTTCTTAATTAACTCGCAATGGAAGGATCAATTGTTTCATTTAACGTCTTCTTTAGTTGTTAGCTTGCTCCGTTGCTCTATGAATCATCTTGTGATCTTTTGACGGTCAAAATGCAAGAAAAACTCACCCCTCTCCCCAATCCAAAATCTTAAATACTTCTAAGCATGATCATAACATGGAAAAACACAAAGGAAATTGGCCCCGTACAAGCAAACCAAATGGAATGGCATGCTTACTAACGTGAGCCCCACAAAGTCTCCAAAGTGGGAAACACGTATTCAAACACAAATAAGAGTGCTAAGCCACCAAAGAGCAAACCAATCGAGGGAAAAAAAAAAAAAAAAAAAAAAAAAAAAGGAGAGAAAATTTTAGTGATACGATATGGAAAAATGATCTATCAATATTGCACAACTTTTTTTAGTCGATGGATTACATGAGACTCGTTACGAGATTGAAAATATAAAAATTTAATAAAATTTGATGAAAATCTAATAAAATTATATATTTATTGTATTGTTAGAATATTATTTTATACCCCACCACATAATTACTAAGAAAAATAAAATAAAACAAATGCTCTCATTTCATTTGCCTAAGCACGCCAAGCCCTTCTTTACCTCCTATAGCCATCAAGTGTTATCATCGCCCACGCTACAAAATCATTTCTCCCAACCCAGCCATGTCAACTTTTATTTCACTTTACCTTTTTTTCTTTCTCTCTTCTTTTCCTTTTTGGTTTGACATCTCTATTTTTTGGTTTCCAAGACAGAGAAAGCAAATAGTTTTTCCTTCTGTCCAAACAATGAGCTGAGCAAAGTCTTCTTCAGCCGAACTCCGGCCCAAAAAAAAAAAAAAAAAAAAAAAAAAAAAAAAAAAAAAAAAATGAGGCCAACTTTATTGTTAAAGTTAAACCACCAAACTTCTATCCCTTCTCTTAAGACCAACATAATGAGAAAGAAGGTTCAAACTTTCTTCAAACTTTTACTTGCTTTCTCTCTAAACAACCAAAGCTTTATGAACTATAAACTCAAGCAAACACTCCAAACCTTACGCTTTGCCACTTTTTCCTCTTACATCAAAAATTTGAACCAATTTTGGATTACATTCTTCAAAGAAACCAAACTAAGTTCTCTCTAAAAAGAAAAAAAGGAACAAAAAAATCTCAAAACTGAACCAATTCTCTCACATGGGCACTTTTTTATCTCTCACTCTAGTGATTCTCTCATGGGCATTATTGCCATCAACGAGAACCGAAGCTCAAGGCATCAGATCATCTCATCTTCTAGACCTTCTCATTAGAGACTACACTTTCAAGTCCTTCAACACCACCTTACCAACCGGACTACCTTACTTGGTCCGCTTACCGGCCAACTTCTCCGGAATAAAGGTCAACACAGCGAGGTTCCGCTGCGGCAGTCTCCGGCGATATGGCGCGAAAGTCGTGGAATTCCACCTCGGGGTTGGCGTCACCATTCACTCATGTGTGGAGAGGGTCATGATAGTTAGCCAAAACTTGGGATACAATTGGTCGTCCATATATTACCAGAACTATGACCTATCAGGTTACCAACTTGTGTCCCCTGTTTTAGGCCTATTGGCTTACAATGCAGGCACTGATCTGAACTCCGGTAACCCTTTCGAGCTCGGGATCATCGCCACTGAAGCCAACCCCATTAAAATAGACTTTAAGAACGTCACAAGGGTGGTCAATAATTCCTCCATAACTCCATTGTGTGCTAGCTTCGAGAGTGATGGAAAAGTGACACTGGCAAAGCAAGCATCTCCTTATGTCTGTGTGGCCAAGAGGAATGGCCACTTTGGGCTGATTATAGAGAAGCCGTCACCGGCGCAGCCACAGAGCAAGAAGGAGAAGCCTTGGAAAGTCGCCGTAGGAAGCTCGGTGGGCGCGGCGTTAGGCGCTTTTCTTTTAGGATTGCTTCTTGTGGCCATGTTTGTGAGGGTTAAGAAGAGGTCAAGAATGGATGAGTTGGAGAGAAGGGCTTATGAGGAAGAGGCGTTGCAGGTCTCAATGGTTGGACATATTCGAGCCCCGACGGCTTCCGGCACCCGAACGACGCCTTCCGGGATGGAGAATGAGTACTTGGCTCCTCCTCGCTGAGTTTATGATGAATGGTCATTGTTCTTTTTTGTGTTTTGTGAATTTTGTGATATTGATTCTTTTTGTAACATTAGCTGAGGAGTTCTTTTACTACATTTTGTATTGGTTTTTGGACAATGTAGAGTTTAGACCAAAATTCTTCTTGTAGGTTCCAGGTCAGGATTCAGGTGAGATCCATTTCTTACCTTCCAAAAGCAAGTTGAGATTTTTCCTTTCCTTTTTGCAGTTCTTTGTAAATCACATTTTAAACAACAGAGTAAATTTGAAAAACCCAGAAGTTCTTTTCTTTTCATGTTTAGTACTATGCCAAGTTTATGAGCAACAGAAAGGACTAATTTAGAACTTAAAAATAACTCAAGTTTTCCCAAAAGTCATTTTTTTTTTTAATTGCGAATAAATGAGAATCTGAACTTGTAGTTTTAGACTTGCAATTCTGTGAAGATTAAGGTGAGAAAGTTGAGGAAATAGTTTAACAAACTGAGGGCACGTTCAGTTCGCTGATTCGAGTTTTTAATTTAAGTTAAAATGTGATTTTATGTGAGAGTTTTTTACTGTAGTAAAAAAGTTAAATGTGACTGATTCTGAGAGCTTTTTACTGTAACAAAACTTAAATCGGTGAAATGAATGGGGCCGGAAAATTCAGAGTGGCGTGGTCAGAATAAAACGGTAATTTATTGATGACTTCTAATTGGATGAAGCATCGTTAGCATTGTAAGAGAATGCCAATCCCTATGTGGGAATAATAAAAACTAGGTAATTCAAGTGGGAAATACAAGAAAATATTATATCTATATTAGTTTTCTTCCTCCTAAGAAAATATAAATACATTTATACATAGTTTTCTTCTTCTATAGAAAGATTATATCTATCTTAGTTTTCTTCCTCCTAAGAAAAGACAAATACATTTATACATTTTTTTTTCTTTAGTGTTTTTTCTTCTTAAGAAAAGATTATATCCATAAATAACTTTCTTCTTCTTAGGGATTAAAAAATAACGGGGAATGGATTTTTACAACTTCTTCTTTGTGGATGTTTTGCCATTATAGGTTTCCATTAAGGTTGAAAAATTGATGGCAAATGCATTTTTTACAACTTTCACTAGTGGGGCTCTAATTATAGCATTGGACCACAATGAGTTTCCTTTTACCAAATGGTCCTATTATATATAGTTTCTTTTTTCAAAAAAAAAAAAGAAAAAGGTCATATAGATTGAAGCGTTTAGTTCTGAAAACTAGCAATTTGGTATAACTTGAGAATTACATTAAAAATTGAAGTTCAATCTTTTTTTTCTTTTTCTGCTTGACCTCATTGCAGAAAATAAAGGGCTTGTTTTTTTTAGCGAAAAACTCAAAAAAAATCAATTCGAGTTACAACTTTATTCGAGTACATGTTCTTTTAAGTTTAAATTTGAGTTCAAATTCGAGTTTAGGACTAAAACTCGAGTTCAAGTTTTCCCTTCAACTCGAGTTCAGAAACTCGAACTCAAATTAATGAACAGTATTTTTTCTATTCTTAAAAATGTTATAACTTTTTCGTTTTAATTCTGATTGAGATGATTTTTTTTATGCGTTGATAACGAAAAGACGAATAAAACCCGACTCATATACCCTATTAAAATTTTTCATCAGCATTGAGTTTTTATTAAAATATTATCTAAATACAAATTTAAGTTTTGACTCACTCAAACACAAACTAAGATTCTTATCTTAAACCATAACTCAAATGTACACAAAAACACAAACTCAAATTACAAATTCAACTCAAACTATAACTCAAATTTAACTCAAAAATTATACTCAAATTAAATTCTAAAAGAACAAGTCTAAAGAAATGCCTCTGATTTGCAGAACTCTTCGTTGGTCATTGTTGAAGAATGATTTGATGGCAACTAATTAAATAAACCAATAGAAGCGAGTAATGGTCTTTACTTGTCCTTTCTCATGGCTTTTATTTTATTTTATTCATTTTGGCAGCCAGATGTGTAGTATTAAAAAAAAAAAGATTCCTTATCACAAGGTCATGTGATTTGATCTACAATCATTTCCCCACTGCGAAGATGTTTCTTAACTGTATTTCAACTTCAATTATTGACACTAACATAAATTCAGAACATTCACTGAACTCTTAACAGAAAAGATGTATCTAACAATTGAAAATTAATTTTTTTTTTTTACCATAACTAGTAAAAAGATTTTGGTAAATTAAAGAGTTAAGATCTCTGATATAACTTTATTCTTTTCTAATTTTTTTTATTTGGAAAAAAGTGTAATTTTCTTAGTTAATTAATAATCATCTTTCTTTAAGCAAAAAAAGAAATAATTCATCTTGCTAGCTTTTAGGGAGAGCAATAACAATTAATAACTTGAAGGAAGGGACATGAAAGCGAACTCCTAAAATAACTCTAACAAGATTTAAAAGAAAAAACAAAACTTTTTAAAAAAAAAAATTGGGATAGAACTTTTTCTTATATATTAGGTTTTTATGAAGATTTTTTTTTTTTTTAATAATTTTGATAAGGGGTCTTCAACAAATAACTTGATAAATAGGGGAGAGGGAAAATAAAAAATAAAAAGATGAGTGGGCAATAGAAGACCTCTTCTAATTGTCATTGCTGGCGTAATGGATTCCCAAGAACACAAGTTTGGCATAAACAATTGACTCTTTAAATTAAAAAAAAAATGCAATAATTGAGATTATCGAAAAAAACAAAGCAATAATAGATTCTTTGACGTTTAATCTTCAAATTAGGAATATAATTATATTCTTTTTTGCTAATTAAATAAGTTTCCTATGAAGCAACAAAAAAATAAGCAATAATTGCAACGCAGTTAGTTAATAAGGAAATAAACACCCAAAAAAGAAATGGAAAAGAAAAAAAAGCGAGTTAGTAAGGTTATTTTCCCGGGAAAATTAACTGCGTCTTTACTCTTTACTCTTTAGATTTCCCGGGAAAATTAACAGCTTTTCTCTCTCTCTCCTCTCTCGAATCTGGATCGTCTCCTACATCTCTAACAAATCTCTCTAAGCTCTCTCCTCTCTTCGATCCTCCAATGGAGGATCATTCCGTGCCACCACTGAGCAACAACCAAAGCCCGCATTCGCCTCCCTCGTCTTCCTCGCAGCTGAATCTCCCCTCCGCCATGTCCAGGACCTCCCTCGCGCTCGAAACCCTAACTCCGTCCCGCCAAATCGACCGCATGATCAACTCCAACCACTCGCAGTCTCCGTCGCGAACCATCTACTCCGACAGATTCATCCCTAGCAGATCCGGCTCCAACTTCGCCCTCTTCGACATCTCTCCGCCGGCAAACTCGCCGGCCGATGGCCGGGAGGACCACTCCAGCGCCTACGCCGCTCTCCTTCGGACCGCGCTCTTCGGTCCCGAGGCCGGCGTCGCGGCTCCGGTCACGCCGGAGAAGAGAAGCTTCGCGATGAGTCAGCCGAGCCGGAACATCTTCCGGTACAAGACCGAGACTCGCCGCTCGATGCACTCGCTTTCGCCGTTCGGATTCGATGACGCCGTCCCGGGAGTTCACAATAGTCCCGTAAAGGCTCCGAGGAAGGTTCCGAGGTCGCCGTATAAGGTGAATCTGCGATTGATTCGGATTTTCGGTGTTGAGATTTCCTGTCTTGATTGTTAAAGTTTTGTGCTTTGGTACTTAATTCTTTGGATTCATGGAAATTTCTTGTGCATTGTTTAGGTTTTGGATGCGCCTGCATTGCAAGACGATTTCTATCTGAATCTTGTGGATTGGTCTTCGCATAATGTTTTAGCTGTGGGATTGGGCAATTGCGTTTATTTATGGAATGCTTGTAGTAGCAAGGTTAGCTATTTTGGTTGGAATTTTCTGCTCTTGCGATTGTTATAACAATGTGCTTTCGTTTGGTGTCTTATTGGATCATTTTGGAGTGTTAGTTTGTAAGATGTTTGATCTATAATGGTATTCTGTTTGCAGGTGACTAAGTTATGCGACTTGGGAATCGACGACAGTGTCTGTTCTGTGGGTTGGGCTCAGCGTGGGACGCATCTTGCTGTTGGTACTAGCAATGGAAAAGTCCAGGTTAGATGTTATTACTCAATTGGTTCGTGCTCACATTTGGATTTCGTGTTTGTGTATATGGATTAGTCAATATCAAAAAGCTGGTTAAGAAATGAGAAGTGCAAGTTGAAGGTTGTTATTATAAGCAACAGAACTATGAACAAAGATGAAGAACATGATTAACCAATCAAAATAATGCAAGGAATGATGATGAAGCTGAAAGTGTATGCTAATTTTTATGTATCTGTGACTAACTAATAGTTTTCAGTTTCACATTGAAAAAAAATGAGAACTTTACAGAATTACATTAGATTCTACAAGAGGAAGCCGCAGAAATTGAAATTTCAGAACTTAATATCGATTCTCATTTGCTTTAGTGACCAATTAGCAGAAATTGAAATTTCAGAACTTTTATTTTTATTCATTGTTTGGTTTATAGAAATTGATTTTATTTTAGTTATGCTTCTTTATAACTCTTATCTAATATTTGGTATCTGATATATTCAAAAACATTTGCTAATTCACTGTTACCTTTGTGTAGATTTGGGATGCATCTCGCTGTAAGAAGGTAAGAACGATGGAGGGCCATCGATTACGTGTTGGGGCCTTGGCTTGGAGTTCATCTTTGTTGTCTTCTGGTAGCCGGGACAAGAGTATTCTTCTACGAGATATACGTGCTCAGGATGATTTTGTTAGTAAACTTTCTGGCCACAAGTCAGAGGTCAGACTCCTGTGTCTATCAGCTCGAGTGAACTTCCATCTCAACCTGTCAACTATAATTTTTTCAGCAATTCAAGTAGCATTTACTGATTTTAGATGAAAAAATTGACATCATATAATCAGTATTTCTAGTTTTACCTTTCTCTAGCTTGCTGTTGTGCTTCTCCAATTCTTAAAACACAGCGTAATGGTGAATTGATGTGTCTTTTAGGTTTGTGGATTGAAATGGTCGTATGATTACCGCGAGTTAGCATCAGGGGGTAATGATAATAGAGTATGTGATCCTAACTATTTTTAAAATTTCTTTGTGCTCGACTTCTCTTAGCTTATGTTAATTCTCTTTAATTTATGACTAATAATTGATCTGATTGATGCACAGCTGTTTGTCTGGAATCAGCATTCAACTCAGCCAGTATTGAAATACTGTGAGCATACAGCAGCAGTGAAAGCCATTGCATGGTCTCCCCATCTTCATGGACTTCTTGCATCTGGTGGAGGAACTGCAGACAGATGTATTCGTTTCTGGAATACAACCACTAACTCACACTTGAGCTGCATGGACACCGGAAGCCAGGTTGCTTTTCTGGCTCTGGCCGTAATGCCCTTCTCATTTTATTTGAAACTTGCATGGGACACTGATAGGATTCTAGTTAGTTTTGTTAGTGCAAGTTGGCTAGAAATTCTGTTAAGTCAGTTAGAGTTGTTAGAAATATAAGGGTAGCATAAATAAAGTGTTTAGTAGCTGATGAAGTGGGGTTTTAGTCATGGATTGGGCTTTGCGAAAACCAATTATAGGGAGAGGGGGTCGGTCTCTCGAATACCAACCAAAGTTGGGGTTTGTGAGTGTACACGTGTAGAATTCCATATTTCTTCTTCAATACAAGTTCAATTCAGTTCATTTTCTGAGTTTTGGATCAAGAATCGTATCAGACACCTGAAATTTGTTTATGAAGATTGTAGAAACAGAAATTCAGAAACCTGTTTTAAGCTGACGCTTGATGATGTCCTCCCTTATTTTCTTAGCAACAAACACATTTGCCATGTACTTTGGTACCTTAGCTTCCTTATATGTTACATAGGCAATGATATTCCAATATCTGAGCTTTGGTGAAAGTTTTTGTTGGACTCTTCTGAAAAAAGAAAAAAAATGATAAAAGAAGATTGTTGTTCTAAATATATATTTGATAGGGGAAAAAATCGTGTTTTAGAAGTGGGTATCTAATCTCTTTTACTTCATATTTGCAGGTCTGTAATCTTGTATGGTCTAAAAATGTGAACGAACTTGTGAGCACCCATGGATACTCCCAAAACCAGATAATAGTTTGGAGATATCCTACCATGTCAAAGGTATGAATGCATAGTTCTATTTTCATAATTACACACCCCGTGTTTTAGTTCCACTTTACTGATGTTCTACTCTGTTCTTCTAATGCAGCTGGCAACTCTCACGGGTCATTCCTACCGTGTCCTATATCTTGCTATCTCACCAGACGGACAGGTATAAAATTTTCTTTTGCTTTAACGCAAATGCTTCAAATGTTTGCCCGTCTCTTGATTGCTAAAACGTCTAGTTTTCAGACAATTGTCACAGGTGCCGGAGATGAAACACTTAGATTTTGGAACGTTTTCCCTTCTCCTAAATCTCAGGTAAATGATTTTTTAGTTGATGGCGAGAATTCATAGAAGTTCCGCACTGTTAATTATGTCTGTAGTTTCGAAGTCCTTTCTCAAGTTTGTTTTGAGTATAGAAACCATTGGGAAAAGTTTTATAAGTGAATTTCTTGAGAACTGCTTCTCTGATTCAATTTTTTATTCCAAATTCGTACAAGCTTATGCATCGGTAGTTTTATTTGACGAGATGTTAAACGTTACACATAAACTGCTCCTTACAGAAAATAATTGCGTCCGTCCACATCCATATGTTGTTAACAATTTGAACTGAAATTTATGCACGGACAATACATTTTCATCTAGTTGTCTCTACTTCAGACAGATTGAAGAAATAACTTGTGAATTTATAACTTCTTATTGCAGAACACAGACAGTGAAATTGGAGCATCATCTCTTGGAAGAACCGTTATTCGGTAACCGCAGGCGTTCTGCTAGCTTACTGCTTACTTGGCATCCTCCAGAACTTGTCGTGCCTTCACAGGATGAGCAAAGAATCTGATTATCTCGCCACCTGAAATTCATCATGCTCAAAGAGCTACATCAAACTGTTGCCTAAAATCAAGCACATGGGCGGCCGGGATTCTGCCGGGACTGAAAGGCTTAAGGAGGAGTTGAAAAGAGTGGAATTTCCCTTGTTCCACTCCAAAAAAGATTATTCTTACATATATATATATATTTTTTTGTTTCCCACTTAATAGAGGTTTGTATATAGAGGGAGGTGTTGTCAATTACTTGTACCTGCTCGCTTGCGTTGTATATTTGAAAGAGAAAAACACTATATTTATGTTTTTAAACATTTTGGTGTAGCACATTTAAAGAATTCTCATTGTAAATAAATTTATCATTCTTCTTCACAATTTTGTAGCTTTCTTGTTCCAGCCACGAGAGGTATTTTCTGTCTTAGGCAAGCTGCAACTAATTGAATGAGGTTGTTTATCAGATTGGAGTTATAAACATGAAATTACGCACATCGTTTAACACCCAAAAAAAAAATTAAAAAAAAGACAAGATAAAAGAATCTTTTGAAATTAGCCATGTCGTGTAAAAACTAAAATTAGCACAATTTCTAAGCTTTCTGTGATTAGTTGTTAGTTTAACCTTCCAATAACTCGGGATGATGCTACGTTAGCGACCAATATTATTTACTTGGTTTTGTATATAATCTTTTTTTTTTTCAACTTTGGATAAGAATCCGAATTAAGGATCCAATACTACTGGAGTATGATTTTGAAAATTCCACATGAACTTGACTATACGTATAATAAGAAAGCTGTTGGGATTTGTTTCTCACATTTTTGTTTGATTCTAATTATAATTGATTGGCATTATTTTGGGAAATACAAAAGCTACTCGTATGATTTTGAAAATTCCACGTGAACTTGGCTATACGTATAATAAGAAAGCGACTCAATTTAAACATTATACGTAAACTCTATGAATATTGGAGAGATTTTTTGATACGCTTAGCATATCGGTAGGTCAGATTTTTCTAATTATTATAGTGTACTTTTTTATTTTTTCATTATTTTATATAAATGTGATGAATATAAAACATGACCTACCGATTTATTAACGTATCAGAAAAAATTCTTAGATATTTTTGCATATTTTTTTGAGAAAAAAGTAGAAAAAATTGACAACTGACGGTGGTGTCAATATGGACGGCCAAACTTTGGTCAATCAAAATGTAAAATAGCACGAGTTTGACACGACACTAATAGTGGCTTAGCATGAATACATGGCACTTAGGGCCCGTTCGGCTCGCTAATTCGAGTTTTTAATTTGAGTTGGGATGTGATGTTGTGTGAGAACTTTTTACTGTAGCAAAAAAGTTAAATGTGACTATTTCTGATAGCTTTTTACTGTAGCAAAACTCGAATCAGCGAAAAGAACATGACCATAATATGTAAGACAAAAAAAAAGTATTTCTAGTCCCACCTCTCTTGGTCTTTTTTTGTGTTTTTAGGAAAACTTCTATGGGATATTTGTACTTTGAGGTCCCTCTTTATATTGATGTGTCTCAAAATTTAGTAAATATTAAAGCCTTTTACTTTTCACCACTTAAGTTTTATTGTTACAATATTTTCTCTTAAAAAATTGAAATTTAACTTTTTTATTATAATATTTTTCTCTTACATACACAATTTAAGTTTTCAACTTGAATTGTGAACCACACATATCATAAATTATTCATGAAGAAAGAAATCGTATCATAATTATATTGAATTAAAAGAAATTAATTTATTAATGTTTCTATCTAAACTTGATCAACAAATACATGCCAGACAGTTTAAAATCCAACTAGATACAAGTTTACTGGTTGGGAAAACGAAAGGACAAATTTTTACAAGGATCACAAATAGTAATAATAATGGTAAAATTCGAACAACAACAACAATGCTCTATTTATGAGAGCTTTTTACTTCTATTTTTCTACTGACTAAAAATAAAAGTAAAAACTCTACATAAACATGCCCAATGAATGATAGTAATATCAACATTTAACTTGAATTCTTTGTATAGACTAATGACATTCTCCGACAAAATAACATATATCTAGAGAGACTAATTCCACTGGTTCTTGTGGAAGAATTTGTTGCGCTGAATTAACTAGGTAATACTTACATGATTGAGCCAACAAACAAATTTTGCACACACCCATAAAAAATAAAATTAAAATTAAAATAAAAAGTCAGCAAGCTCCATCTTTCTACTTAATCATCATCATCATCATCACCATCATCATCATCGTCATCTAGATTATTTGTTCGGTTTGTTGCTGACAAATCTGGTGGGACCCACGGGGAGTTTTTTCATCCAAATTGGCAACCTCTTCCGACCATTGATATAAGGTGGCCACCGTAGAAGACGTCATTGGAGGGAAACAACACTCGCATTCCTCTTGGCATCGTTGGGGCAAGTCCCAGTTGCTTATTGGGGTTGCCTCCTTAATTTTCTTATTATTATTATTATTATTATTATTATTATTATTATTCTCTTTGTCATCAAAGTTGTGATTGTGGGTCCCATCGGCAGCATCCTTTAGTGGGCCCCAACACTCGACTTTGTTGAATTCTGGAACGTTCGAGTGGAAGTAAACCCACACCAGGGCTTCCTGTAGTTCCGGGTAGTTCTTCAACAGGTTCTCATCCCCGTGAACGAAGGCCTTCAATACCTGTTTTTTTTATATTTTTTTTCATATGAAATAAATTCTTATTTAGGGATCACTAATCAAAAGTGTAATTAAGAGGTTTAATAGTAACTATCATCATAAATCAGCAATATTATGATACGTCACCAATGATTCCCGTCCCAATATAAATGCAAATATAAGACCTTCACGCAATCACAAAGGGCCCCACGTAATTTTATTTTATTTACCGATTTTTTATAGCTAAAAATAATTTTGGGATGATAAAAGGAGTGAAATGTTTAGTTTTAGTTAAGTAAGTTCGCTAAAAAAGAGGATTATGGTACGTTAATATATTAATAGATTAAATTTTTATCTATTAAATCTACATAAAAATGTATAAAAATTAAAATATATATATATAAATTTAACAATTAAAAAACTTGATTTATTGGTGCACGACGACGTACTAAAAAATCTATAAAAAAAAAAACTTAATAAATCCATTAATATTTTTTTAAAAAAATTAATCACCTAAGTTAATACGGAGAATTATAAATCGTGAGAGTTTCTTTGATTTCTCACCTTTTTTTTTTCAAAAATATGGTTCTTATGTGATTTGACAATAAAAAAAATAGATAATTATTTAATGAAAGATTTGTGATGTTTAAAACTTGCTAAATCAAAAGATGAGTTCAATTACCACAGGAAGTTCTTTGGAGAAGATGAAGAATCTGAGCCTAGCACACAAATCTAACAAGAAATGGCCTCCACTTATGTGACAATGAACATGAAGAGACATCTTTCCTTTCACTTTCTTCCACTCTGCCACAACTTCATCTCTCTGTAACTTGTTATACCATCCCTGCAACTACAATTATTCAAACCAAAAAAAAAAAAAAAAACCCAGACTTTAATTTAATATTCCACAAATTTTTCCACTTTTTTCATATCCCACAACGAATTAAAAAGGGCTAATAAACAAAGAACATCAAAATAAAGATATTTGAGTTGTGTATGGAAAAAAATATATTAAAATAAAAAAATAAATTTAAATTTATATAAAAAAATATCATAATAATATAACTTAAATTGTATAAATAAACACATCTTTTGATATATATACTTACTAATTACCTGAGGGTTGTTTATTGTTTGGGAAATGGCCAAGGTGAGTTTAGAGGTGACATCACTATGTGTAAGTGTGTAGGTTCTAGGGAGATTCCCAGGGTGCTTCTTTTCATCAACTCCTAAGAAAAGTACTTTCAACTTTGATGCTTCAAATATTGCTGGCCCAAATAACCTTGCAACCTAAAAATATTGAATAATATTAAAAAAAATCACTCCAATTAAAAAATATAAAAGAAAAATAAAAACAATAGACAATACATACATATACATATATATATATATATATATGTGTGTGTTAGAGAGGGAGTTACACATACAGGAACAATAGCACGGTTAATATTGTTCTTCTTGTTGGATCGTGACTTTCTTCTAGACGCGGAAAAGAGACGATTTTGGTGCTCATGAATACGAGAGAATGAATTATTATTTGGTTTTAGCTTTGATGGGAGGAGAGAAGAAGCAGCAGTCAGAGAACCCATGATCTTTTTCTCTCTCTAAAACTGATTATGATCAGCTCCAGCTTTCTCGGAAGACCCAAACAAATTATTTAAGAAAAAAATCTCTTGAACATAAAAACAAGAGGCTTTGGAGTGAAGGCTCGGCAATTCTCTTCTCTTTAACTTGCTTTTGCTTTGGGAGTTTCTCTTCTTTTCTTTTCTTTTATTTTCTTTTTTTTTTTTAAGCTTCAACTATAAGGTTTGCTTGTTAGTTAAGCCTTGTGAAAATAGTGACTTGGGAGATCTGGTTTTATGGAGAGAGAAAGAGGAGAGAGATAGAGGGTTGCTTATTTCGGGAACGTTACTGTTGCTTGGAGTTGTAGGCTTTCTTCAATTGACCACACGAAAACTGGCTCAAGGATAGACAAATTACTAACACGTGTCATCAATGTATCATCGATAGTAAGTGTAACCGTAAGGACGTTGTTTTTCAGGTTTTTTTAACGAACGCCTCCTGAACTTTTTAAATTTAACAATTTATTTCTTTTTCTTTTTTTTGACAAATGATCTCTTCAATTTAAAAATTTTTACGATTAAGGACTGATCCAAAATGATGTATATATATATATATATTTTAGGATTCTAATCAAGTGATGCGCGTGTGAGTATCTGAGGATAGTGAAGATTATTTTTTACTCAATTTATTCATTTATATTAATGTCATAGTCATTTAATGTGTCTAAATACAATCGTTTTAATAAACAACTCTTAAGTCTCGTTTATTTCGTGAATTTAAATTTTCAATTCGAGCTTAGATGTGATATTTTCTAAGAATTTTTCACTGTAGTAAAAAAACAAATTAGATATGACATCTTCTGAGAGCTTTTTACTGTAAAAACCTAAAACTGAAAACTCGAATCGGTGAAATGAACGATGCCTTAATTTTCAAAGGTCATTGCTCTCAACAGAGGCTCTAATGGTGAAAAATGACTTTCATTTCCGTAACACATACTCACATACGCGTCACATGATCAAAAGTGTCAAAATAACATACAGTTTGGTCATTTAGTAAGTGATAGTATAATCTCTAATCTTTTTTTTTTTTGCAAAACGACTTCTAATCTTTTTAAAAAGTGACAATTTGGTCATTTTCATCAAATTCTATTAAATTTTTAATATAACATGTCACGTGACCCATACGTAACTCTTTTTCAGTAAAATGACTTAAATGCCCTCATTAGAAAAAGCCGCCTTCTTCTTCTTCTTCTTCTTCTTCTTCTTTCCTCAAATATCATCTCCAAATCCAACAAATCGAAGCTGTAAATCCCTCTTTCATCTCCAAATTTCACCATTTTTCCTCTTTCTCACACAGATAAACAGCTTTTCCTCCACTTTCTCACAAATCAACAATTTCAGATTAAAACCAAAAAAACTTTTCAAACAAATAATCAAAACCAAAAAATTGCAAGCATAAATTTGTAAAAACAATTGCAATAAATTAATTACCCAAAAGCCTTTGAAAATATTTTTCATTCCTTCGTCAAAAACCCAGAATTAAAGTAGATACTGTTGACGGTGTTTTTTCGACAACTCGTGATTATCTCTCCAAGAACCCTCACAACGACACTCGAGGTTCGACTAAGGATTAAAACTAAAAAATAATGTAAAGGAGACAATGATTTTATAGTGGTTCGGGAATAACTCTTTGCCTAATCCACTTGTGAATGCACTAACATCTCAGCAGATTACAAGCTTTCTTTTTGTAATGAAATGGTGCGTAACCCTTTTTTGGGTTTTCTTGGCTCTATTTATAGGCCTTTACATGTGATCGTGCCTTCTCAGTTCCCAAGGAGGAAGCCATCTTCCGTCCTCGATTTGCGGGATGGTAGGTGAGTTTTCATGATGATAACCTCAGGAAAGGCAGATGATCCTTCTCATCTGCCGTATGATTTCCTGACTCCTGCAGTAGCAGTTGGACCAGTACTTCCTTCCCCGAGTTGACAAGACCGTTGATAGGTTTGACTGGGCATGCTGTCTCGACGCAGTGGCCCTCAGAAGTCGAGTCATTATGCTCGACACCTCTCGCCACATATGATCTCTCGACGTAAAGGGCACCTTAGCTACAGCTGTTCCCTCGACGCCAGCAACCAATTCTCAACGGGGAGTCCTCAGCGCCTGTCATCCGAGAGAGTGGTCGACGTCTCGACCATGGTGTAACAGATACATATATATAATCCGAACTCTAATATAGAATTAAAGTAGCGACACAATTACCGGCTCAACCAAAATCTGAACTTTGACATCTTCGTTGAAGCTCCACCAGCTTCCGCCTGGCAAGATTGACCTTACAAAAGCCATCCACCTATGGAGTTTCTCGGATAAGTCAACCTCGGCCTCCCTGCAGCTTTCTAAATACTCCTCTGCGTCGTCGTGGACCGAGTAGCCGTTAATCGATGCTGATTTCAGTGGCGGTGAAGGAACAGGTCTTGAATTGGATAAATGGAGAGATTGAAAGGGAGATAGAGACAAAGATGGCCGGAACGTCGACGCGGAGGTGAAATGGAGATTTTTGTGGTGAGTTCTGATAAGAGGACGTCTGTGATTGAGCAAGGGGAGGAGGTGAGGCTGCGTATTGCATATCAGAATCGCCATAGTTTAAAACATGAAGTTGCAGAGCGGAATCGCCATGGTTGAAAACATGAAGTCGCAACTCTGTTCCTGTGTCCCCAGCGACGTAGCGACCAGCTCCGGCGACCCCAGCATCGGCCTCAACAAACCACTTCCCCATCGCGCCCAACCCCGACCACCTTCGTGGCGACCAGCTCCGGCGAACCCATTTTCCAACGCGCCCAACCTCAACCAGCTCCAACCTAGATCTGCCAGCCTTGACGTCGAGAGAGAAAGATGCTGAAGAAGGAGAGTGTTTTTGGAGATGAAATTTGGAGAAAAAAAGAAGAAGAAAAGAAGAAGAAGAAGGCGGCTTTTATAATGGGGGCATTTAAGTCATTTTATTGAAAAAAAAATTTACGCGATGAGTCACGTGACATGTTTTGTTAAAAATTTAACGAAATTTAATGGAAAGAATCAAATTGTCATCTTTTAAAGATGTTGTGGGTCATTTTTTTAAAAATAAAAATTAGAGATCAAACTGTCACTTACTAACAAGTTTAGAGACTATATATGTAAATTATTTTTTTTTCTTTTATTAAAATGGCACGTGGTGATGTCAGAATCAAGCAAGAAATTAGCTAAAGCTGACCTTGTGGGGTCTTTTGACCGTACGCGGTCTGATTTTGCATTTTCCACGTGTTTCTAACCTTTTCTTAAAATTTTTTTTTTTAGGAGAGACGTGGTTCTAACTGGAGGCTACAGTTCGTTGTGGTTCTCAGCCATACAACATTACACTAATAAGATCTTTTTGTCGTCCAATTAGTTTTGTAATTTGGTGCCTCTAATATATTCTCAATAGTTTGACACTTGCAATTTTATATCTATCTAGTCTTTCTAGTCTAAACTAGTCTAGTCTAGTATAAGAAATAGGGAGAAATCTTTTATTAGAATAAGTATAGTTTCTAAAACTAAGAACATTGTACCACTTTAATTCTCAAATTTCTTTTGACAAATTACTTTTTAACTTTCAATTTTTTGATGGTGTTACTCTCTGACATTAAGGAACGATATCAAATTTAATGTAAATTATCGCATTTCCATCGGATAATGATTAATAAAAGATTTACAAAAATAGTTACATAAATGTAAAATATTTTAGTTTTTGAGATCTTCAATAACAATAAAAAATAATTTTGCGTTTAATGCAATTATTCCGGTAAGATTTTCATTTATTATGCGATTGAGAGATGATTATTTTTCTAAAATTTAAAAAAATTGTCAATTTTAATGATCAAGAGCCAAAACTTTCAAAAAATCAAAAATCAAGCAGTAATATATACCAAGGAAAAAGAAGTTAAGTGACCGAAATAAAATAATACTTATAATTCATGGACTAAGAGAGCTAATAACTAAAAACATTTATTATAGGTAATATATAATACTGAATATCCAATTCATAATGCGAATGGAATGTTCAAAATTGGTACGGTGTTTTCTAAATAAAAGTACGATTCGTAATGAATGAATTAACACGTTTTCTTTTTGTAACACTCTCCAAATTTTATCATAGATTTTTATGAGATCTTGTTGTGAACTCTATAATTATTATGTGTTTTATGATTTTCTCATGACAATTAAGGAGATTTAGATATCCTTAACTCATGCATCATCCGACGAAATTATTATCCAAGGGTAATTTTTCTTAAAAAATATTATTTGGAGTAAAATTAGTAAATTAAATTCTGATTTGAATTTCTAATATCGGATTCTTAATCGGAACATCAAAATTAGTCAAGAGTGTAATTTTTATAAAGATTCCATTTCAGGGTCAAATTTATAATTTTGGCAAAATACAGAATCGAAACATAATTTTTGAAAATATGGGATCCAAAATGCGATTATAAAAAATGTGTAGGTTAAAACAAAAAAACTAATGGAGTTTTCAAAAGTTTCTAATTGGTTTTTTGGGAGTCACCATACACCACAACCAATAGAAATTTAATTGGGTTAAAAATAAAATTAAATAATTAAAAAAAAGAGAAAACCGACCTTACTATCTTTTTCAAAAAAATAAAGAATCCCGTAACTGTCTAGATGAGCCATAGAAAACCTACCAAATACATTCAAAACTCCAATTGTCCATCAAAATCTTTCTCCCAACTCATAGTACTAACACCTCCCTTGATTTTCTTGAGTTGGAGATGATTTTTGAGCCCTAGAAAGCTCTCAAAAATTGGGTTTAAGCCCTAATCTGAGAATAGATGTTTGTAAATTGATTTTGGTATGTTTTCCTCTCCAATACTTATTCATTGATCAATTTCTTTTGTTGGGTGAGTTCTAATCTGTTTTTAAATGATTATGCATGATATCTAATACCTCTAAATCTACTATTCAAGCCAAACATGTTTTCCCAATCCAAGGCATGAGTTAATAATCAAAATAAAGCCAAACTTCGTCGTTTCTTCAAGGGTGAGAGTTCTCAACCTTTAAAAACCCATGAAACTGAGTTAGATTGTGTATTTTGATTATGGAGTTTAATTTTTTATGATCATTAAGCTTATTTTATAGTTGTTTGAAGTTTGCTTGCTATATGTTTGACAAAATGATCATGAGTAAGTTTTTGTGACCAGCTGTGAAGTTTCTATTTTTTCAGTTATTTTATATATTGTTTTGTCTCAGTTGATTTTTTTCTTAAAATAGACATCCTAAGCTTTAAGTGAGTTTTGAATTACTCAAAAATAATTTTTCTAGAATTAGATATGAT